TATTCAAATCAAATTGTTTTTTTACCCCACACACAACTGAATCTATACTCTTTAATGATGAGAACATGTTGTTGTGAGCAGGGCCGGTGCAAGGATTTTAGAAGACTATTATATGTCTGCCTCAGGGCAATCATAAGTTATGGGGTCCTCATACTTTATGTGAGTGCCATCCAAATCATGCATTAGGATGAAAAGTGCACGGATGGCATCACTAATTGTACTTTGAAGGTTTACACAATGGGAAAGGTACCCAACTAAACAACCTAACGTGCAACTTTAATTGTAAAAATAGTACATAGAAATGTAACTTACAGTATCCAGAAGGCTTTTTGATTTATGAATAACTGTAATTTCTGTTCAGGAATTGAAATGTATTTATAAAATGTAATACAACTTTAATCCTTTCAAATTATGCAGATTTCTCTAAAATAAAAATAAAACCAATATTAGTATAACTATGCAAAGCTGTCAGCCAAGGATTGCACATTTGTTGTCAGCATTTCATTTCTTTGTTGTTTTAAAAGTTAACATTTAAGTTGAACATTTGTCATTTTTTTTGCTCCTGTTCTTTTTTCCACCTAGATCATGGCTTCAAATGCTTCCCACTGGGCATGGACAAGAACTCGGATAAACCATCATGGAGGGGCGATCCGACATTTTCGGCAAAAGCTGAATGAGTTTGTTGTCCGAGTTCCATTACCGTGGCATCTGTTATCCTGCCCCTGTCAGAGAAATGCCAACTACACCACCAGCAACTCTCGGGTCACCAAACCTGCGCAGTGGGAAGTGGCTAAAATTGTCATCAAACAAACAGGTCAAATACTAAACATTGTGGAGATTGCACTTACACTAAGTACTAACTGTTCAGAAAGTACTATATATATTACCTTTTATACATTGTGAAGTGAAATGTTACTGACATTCTATTATATTACAGGTTGCTGCCTAAAGCATTATGTTGCAGAATACTCCAGCAAACTTTGGAGTTTATTCAATAAATGGTAAGTAGTGGTGATTGACATCTGAGAGACAAATCTAGGCAGAAGTAGGCAATGTTTCTATTACAGCAAGATTGGCCTAAATGTTCTAATTTATGTTGGTATTTTCTATTAACTGACTAAGGAATTTTGTACCTGAGTATCTGTCTATATATAAAAAATATACACAGAGACATATATTTATATATAACTAGAAGCTATTTAGGAATATGAAGGATTATATTTGGTTCATGTTCAGGCCCGGACTGGCCATCGGGCAAACCGGGCAAATGCCCGGTGGGCCGCGATGGCCATGGACCAAGGCCGGTAGAAAAGATCAAGAGATCTCCCCTGCCGGCCCATGCGCAGCAGCACCGGCCTCAAGATGGAGTTCTATCCCATCATGGGCCGGAGAGGAGATGGGGCAGTGAGCCGATCACCCTCTGCGCACGCCGAGCAGCTTCCTTCCTCCTCTTCTCGCGAGCTCCGAGATTATCAGAGCGTTGCCATGGTAACCCACGGCAACGCTCTGAAAAAACGGCGCTCGCGAGAGTGAGAGAGACCTTGTCTGTACCCTGCGGGGTACAGACTGAATTACCTGCCGCTGGACCGCCAGGGATGTGTGTGTGGCGTAGCCCCCCCTCACTGGACCACCAGGTATGTGAATGCTCCCTCCCCTCCTGCAAAGTTAAAAGGGGGAGTAAATGGAATTATTATTATTTTTTTTTTTTACTTTTTAATAATAATAATAATTTAAGGCCATATACACACACAAACACATTACACACATACAAACACACTACACACACTGCACCACTAACACACAAACATACTGCTCCCCACATCAGCCCCACTAACACACAAACACACACTGCACTAACACACAAACACACACTGCACTAACACACACTGCACCACTAACACACACACACACACACTGCACTAACACACAAACACACACACTGCACTAACGTACTAACACACACTGCACCACTAACACACACACACACTGCACTAACACACAAACACACACACTGCACTAACACACAAACACACTACACACATTGCACCACTAACACACAAACACACACTGCACTAACACACACACACACTGCACTAACACACAAACACAGACTGCACTAACACACACTGCATCACTACACACACACACACTGCACAAACACACACTACACACATTGCACCACTAACACACAAACATTCTGCTCCCCACCACTAACACACAAACACACACTGCACTAACACACAAACATACTGCTCCCCTGCACAAACACACACTGCACTAACACACAAACACACACTGCACTAAAACACAAACATACTGCTCCCCTGCACTAACACACTACACACACAGCACCCCCTGCACTAACACACAAACACACTACACCCCCTGCACTAACCCACAAAAACACTGCATACACTCTATACCCCTATATACATACTACAGCCCCTGCATTAACACACAATACACACTCTATACCCCTATATCCACACTGCACCTCCTGCACTTACACACAAACACACTACACACACTCTATACCCCTTATATACACATTAGTCCCCTGGCACTCACATACACACACTAAACACACTCTATATACACCATAAACCTACACTACACTACACTCCCTGCACTCTCATACGTTATACCCCTATTAACACACACATTACACCCCCTGCATGCACCCACACTAATTTATATCGCCTATAAATACATATTCTGCACCCCCTGTACACACTACACCATCAATGCATACATTATCCCCCCTATACACATGTGCTCTACAGCTCCTATATGCATATACACACTAGAGCCCCTAGATACACTCACAAACACACAGTACAGCTCCTTACATGCACACACTCCACAGGCCCCTATATAAATACACACACACACAAACACACATACTTTACAACCCAGAGACACACACACTACAGCCCCTAGCCACATGCAGTACACCACAAACAGACCCCTTCACACACACAATTGCTCTACACACATGCAATGTCCAAACATATACAACAACACAAGGAACATCCCCACACATGCACAACACTCTTTAACAGTCCTGTACCTGTTTTGATCTCTGGTATCCCACTATTGAGGACACCAGAGACAAATCGCCAGCAAACTCAGCACAAACTCAACCCCCCTTGCCCCCTAGAAAAACCTCATGGCATTTATTTTAGCCAGGAGCACTGGATGCTCTGGAGGAGCGTCACATTAACATACTCATTTGGTGGGGGGAAGGGGGTGTGCGTGTCAATGGTGGTGACATGACATGCCCCCTTTCTGGCCCTGCCCCTAATAGTGGGCTAATCTGCCTTTAATTGCCCGGGCTGAATTTTTGTCCCAGTCCGGCCCTGTTCATGTTAACATGTTTCATGTCACTAGTTTGGTCATACGCGATGAAAATCCTCTATTGGATATAAATGAAACCTCACTGCTTCAAAGTCCAGTTATTGTTTCTCTGTATGTTTACTATTATTAGTAGTATATATTATTCTAGGAATCTATTTGATACAAACGGTACCCAAAGTGCTATTCTCCTCCAAAGCCTACACATGTTCATACATATAATATAAAATTATCATTACTGCTGAGAAACCTGAGACTGATGCTCCAGTCCTGATATCATCCATTAATTTGGCTGAATAGTGACACTAGCCTTGTTTATCATTTATTGATTGGAGCGCTATTCTTCTCTCTGAAAGTATAGTGCATGCTCCTAATACAGTGTAATATAACTCCCCCATAGATAAGGACATTGGTGCTGTGATCAGGTAAGTAAATAAAGGGTTTTTAACCCTTTATTCAACGTGGGGCATGAAGGAAGGGGGAGGAAGGAAGAGCAATAATACCAGGAATACAGCTTTGTATTCTTGGCACTAAAGTATCCCTTTAAAATAATACTAGATTCACCAGAACAACTACAGCTTAAAGGAACACTAAAGTGCCAGGAATACAAACATATATTCCTGACACTATAGTTTTAAAAGCACTGTTTAGAAACCAGGCCCCCCCTCCTTACTTTTAACAGGTAATTTTACTAACCTTTTTTCCAGCTTTCCACTGGTCTTGTTGCAGCTGGCCCTGCCCCACTCTGCCTACATGGCTGAGATAATCAAAATATGATCTCAGCCAATGCAATACTTTTTTATAGAAAAAGCATTGAATCAATGCATCTCTATGAGGAGTGTTAAGAGTCTCCATGCAGAGCGTGGAGACGCTAAACGTGTGGAGCACATACCATAGAAGCCCCTCTAGTGGCCATCTGAGTAACTTCCACTACAGGTGTTCCTACACAGTAATGTAAATACTGTGTTAAGTATATAGTGGAGCGCTTAGTAATAAAATATATTGCATAAAACTTCTTTTGAAAATGGTGTAAATATTTATTTAAATACATTTTACACTTTAAATACAAATTTAAAAGGGATTTTTAGGCAATATGTTCCATTACTAAGCGCACCACCATATACTTCATAGATTTTAACCTTTTGAGCTACTAAATGAATAACTCATGGGTGTTTTGAGCAGCTAATATAAAAAAAAAAAAAAAAACACATAAAAATATACAAACATAAGCGGTTTACAACATACAAAAAGTCACTCAGTGTGCAGCACTGAGATTCAGCGTCTCCAAGTTCTGTACGGAGATGCTGAACGCTACCCATAGAGATGCATTGATTCTATGCAATAGCCTCTGAATGTTTTCCCATGGGAAAGCATTTGATGATGTCGGCAAAGGAGGCGGAGCGGGGTGGCACCAGCTGCAACAAGACCGGTGTAGAAAAAAAGATGAATAAATTACCTTTTTAAAGCCAGGCAAGGGGGACCGGCAACCTAAACTGTGGTTTTACAAGTATAGTGCCAAATATACATATTTTTATTTCTGACAATATAATGTTACTTTAAACTGTTGAATGTCAACAGACAAAACCTAAATAATAATAATACATCATTTTATGTCTGTCAATCCTGTTTACAGAAATTGAAGAACAAGGAGGAAACTTTTTAACATCTGGACTTTTCTCCAACATTTCTGTTCATCACCAACAACTGCACATGTATCCAGCACCTGTATAGCCATCAGCATCTCCAACTGTCTCTGAAATCTGCTCATTTTGCCAACATCTGCAGTTGTCTCTCATGCTTTTCATACATCTGGCTTGGTTATGAAGCAAAACAACCCAGTTCAACATCTATGCCTCCAGTAATGTCATCATACTACTGAGCGTGGTGTGCCCAGTTTCCTCCAGAATCCCAGACTAGATTGTACGGCTCCTCTTCTTCTATCTAATTTGGGTTCTACTAAAAACTTAAAGGGGCACTATAGTGTTAGGAACACAAACGTATTCCTGATACTATAGTTCTAAAACCATAGTTTAGCCGGTCAGTTGCCATTACCTCGGGTTATAAACGTGATTTACTCACCTTTATCCAGTGCCGCGCAGGGCTCCTCACGTCTGGCCCCACCCCGATCCGCCTCCTAGGCTGACATCAGATTTGATGATTTTAGAATAACCAATGCTTTTCCATAGGAAAGCATTGTGAGGCTATTGTGCATTGGTGGCAAAACACTGTGCTGCACCAATCAGCATATCCTCATAGACTGATTTAATGTATCTCTGTGGGGAAAGCACCTCTGGTGGCCATCTGTATAGTGGCCACTAGAAGTGTTCCTAGGCTGTAATGTAAACACTACCTTTTCTCTGAAATGGTGGTGTTTACAGAAAAAAGCTGGCAGGGACACGCTATAATAACCAGAACAACTACAATAAGCTGTAATTGTTCTGGTGACTGTAGTATCCCTTTAAATTAAATATTAAAGGATCAATATAGTCAACATAGAAAAGCAAGAAAGACGGGTCTCCTAGCCTTCTTTCTTGCTTTTATATGAACTTCCAATAATAAAAAAAAAATTCGAGCCCTTTTTATCATTAAAACTTACCTCCATTCCAGCGCCAAGCTCCTCGTCAGGCCAGGCCCCCTTTTTAGTGAAAATGATGAAATAGCAGGGCCCAATCAGACGCTTCTCTTTGAGAAGCGTCATCGCTCTCAGGTGGGCATGCACCAATCAAGTTCTGAGCGCTCTACCGTGCATGTGTGCTCAGCTCGCTGTCTACGCCAACCCTCCTAAGCCAAATGTTTGTATGCAAACACTATATATAGAGATATCTCTATATATAATGTTTGTATACAAACACACATTTTAAATGAATATTGTTAAACATACAAACACACACACTATCTCTATCCATCTATATATATATATATATATATATATATATATTTCTATCTACCTATTTCTATCTATATCTATATTTCTATCTATCTATTTCTATCTATTATATCTCTATCTATATTTCTCTCAATAACACTCACACTCACTCACACTCACTCTCTCACCCTCACTCAATTTCTCTCATTCTCTCACAATCAATCTCAATCTCTCACTCAAACTCTCCCAATCACTCTCTCACACTCTCTCTCAATCTCACCCACACTCACTCACCCACACCCACTCACTCACCCACACTCACTCAGTCACCCACTTACTCACCCACACTCACTCTCTAACCCTCACTCACAAAATAAGTTTACTTACGGTTTGGATCCTCCTGCTCGGTCTCCAGTCTTCAGCCTGTCAGCTCGAGCTGATGCTGTGTGCAGGAGATCTTATCTGAGATCTCCCACACTGTCGGCTCTGATTGCTGACAGGCTCCGGGGTTACTACAGGACATAGGAGGTGCGTTCACAGTGCCTACTATCTCCTGTCATCACGGTTGATGTATTATTCACCCAAGCATGAAGATGTTAAATGTGATGAATGCAAATTAGGCATTCATGAACTCGGAAGTACCTCTGGTGGCAGTCTGAGTGACTGCAACTGGAGGTGTTCCTAGCTTCCAATGTAAACACTGTATTTTCTCAGAAAATACATTGTTTATATGAGAAAGGCTGCAGGGAGCTACAGCTCTCACCTGCACAACCTCATTAAGCTGACATGGTTCAGGTGACTATAGTGTCCCTTTAAACCCTTCAGTGCAAGTTTTCATTCTGTCGTCACCTGCTCTGCCTTTGGAATGTGCAGGACTATACATTCCTGCCTTTCTAAAGTATATTGAGGAGAGATCAGGCAATCCCTCCCCATTATACTAACTAAAGACATTACTACACAGCATGTATTGATGTCCCTCAGTATGGAAGTGCCCAATGGCACCTAATGAACTAGTGTACCCTTCTTTGAAAGGAGAGATCCGGCCCTTTCGAATCAGGAGTCACTTGTTCCCCTAAGTTGCAGATGATCACTGCAAAATTGGGAATGTGCTAAAAATCGTTATTGAAAGAGGGGGTACTCCTCTTTCTAGTGTGGGATTTAACACCCCTTTCACAGGTAGGTGATTGCCATACAATTAGCCATCACTTACTCAATCTACTTTAACTATTTAGGAGATGGGGGCTCTAACGGAAGCCCTATCCCCTAATAACAGCATACGACACGCGCAAACAGTACCCCTCATAGGAAAGAGGGGGGAATATATTTTCTCATATTTAGGGTAATATGTCCCTCTAGGTAAGAAGTGATTGCCATAACAATGACAGTCACCTGTCAACTGGGTGAATTTTAAGAGGTAATCCATTTGTGTTTGATTGCCCCTTGCTAAATGGAGCAAAACTATCCAGATAGCCAGTACCACTTGGGGCATAGGACTGCAATATCCAGACATTGTACACATTATTTAACAATGTCTGGATTTTTCCAATTCAGGCTTCATGCAAGCCAGAATTGTGTCAAGTTTTCAGCCTGTCTGAATGCTGTCAGACAGCTGAAATCTGGTTCTGGGTACCTAAAATTTAGGTCCAGATGATTCAGATTTGGGCGTGGACCTTAAAGGGTTTCTTCATCCTTTTCTTTTTTCTTAGATGAATGCCCTATTGGACATTATTATTATGATCCCCAAAAATCCCTTAAAATGTTTTTAATATGTTTTTGCATACCTAAATCTAGTGCTGGGCAAAGCTCCCAAACTAATTGGCACAATCACATCTAAAGTCATGGGAGATACGAGGAGGTCCAATCAAAAATAATAACAATTAAAAAGCACAGAATTGACATTAGGTAGCCCATAAAAGAATTCAGGTCTCCCTAGGTCACGTGTGCTGGGCGGTGTAACTAGCTCCGACCACACAACTAAAAATAACTCTGGCCAGCACTTCCTAACCAGTCACCACATAATAAGCATAAAAATAAAATTAAACCTGTCAGTATGCTCCCCATTTAACTATAGTAAGATTAAACATGTACCACGCCCAGTATTCCTCAAATTAGCCCATTCAGGTTCCTTTTGAACATACATTTTTATGAAAGATATGAGAATAATTTCCAAACTAAATAATTTAAAGACTAAACCTAATGAATTACCCCTAAATTAATAGTATGCCTTGAGGGAGGGCAGTACAGCGGCCATGGTTCCTCACAGGTTTCCTCCACTGGGGGTTTTTCCTGTCCTGAGCGCTGCTGTACAAACAAATGTTTTAAAAATATCATATAGTGAAACACATTTATCCGTTAAATTTATATTATAATCTAAAAGCTGCCATAATACTCTGTAAAACTTTTCTTTGTGTATAAATACCAATGTCTATTGTAATTGATATGCAATATGGAAACTAGGTTCTAAAAAAAAAAAAAAATACCCTTAAAAAACAACAACCAAAAGATCAATATAAACTTTATTTTTATACATTTACTGATGTCTTGCTTTTCATTCTCTAACATTTTAATTGCCAAGTTTATTTAGTATCAGTTAGTTCTGCTAATTATGGATAAACATAAGCATCTCACAGGCATTCTAGGAAAGTCTTTTGATTGGTGGACACAATACAGTGAATTGTAACAGGTTTTTTACATAAAACACATCAATGTGTTACACGTACAGTACTTGCAGGGTTATTTACTAAACTGAGAATTGTCAGGAATGCAAAGGGAACCAAACCTGTCACACGTATACAGTTATAAAATCCTCAGAATGTGAAACAGACATTGATAAACATTCAAACAAATTACATAATCTTAATTTCTAATTCCTAATTGATCCCGGATCAAGTAATTATATTTTCCATTTTAATTCTTTATCTTATCAAAGAATACATTTTATGTTTCTTATGGAGGCTTCCGTGTCATGTGACCAAGTCTTATTCGGTCAGTGCCGCAGAAGTACCCTCTATAGTGGCCATCAGTTTAAAAAAAGGGGGATTGGGTGGCACACCCAGAACATGGCTGCTGCTGTCAACACCAAAATATACACAAAATACAGATTAAGGGAACATCACACACACAAAAAAGTACAGTTTTAACTCTTACAACAGGGCTTAAAAATTTGCTTTAAATCTAGGAGCCAGCAAAAAAAGTTAGGAGCCAGGTTTTTCAATGTCAAAAATACATTTCTTAAAGGGACACTAGAGTCATCAGAACCACTACAGCTTGATGTCGTTATTCTCATGTCTATAACCTGTCCCTCCACACTTTTCAATGTAAACCCTGCCTGCGGACGCGCAAGGGAGCAGAGCAGGGAGGTTACAGCTGCCTCGTGGGCCTGCTCGTCTGCCTCAATCCTCCAGGAGTCTCCCATCCGTGCACTACCACACGCACTCCCTAAGCAGGATGACCGACTGCACGCCCATGCTCTCCATCAGCTGGCTGGCAGACCGCACATGCTCTCCCTTTAGTTAGCTGGCTCACCGTACATGCTATTCATTGAGCTCTTCCTCCACTCATAGCAGCCGAACACCTCAGGGGCTGAATGGGCCAACAAATCTCAGCGCCAAGACTAAAATCCTAGTCGCCATGGCAACCTGGTGCCTGGGGTTTGTTGAGCCCTATCTTACGAGGCTACTTAAAATCACTTATCTTAGAAAAAAATATATGGATTATTTACATCACATGGCAACATAATTTTAAACTAACTAGTATGTCATAGTACCCCAATATCGGTGGGTCTACACTAATTTAAACATGGGAGATGTACATGCTAACTGCAACACCTACTTTATTTTATAATTGTCTTTTACTGAAATTTTTAAGTGATACAGAAAGTAAGAAGGGTGGGAGGGGGTATCTGCAGAGAACACAAAATGAGTTTTAACAGAATACTGTATTGCATTAAAATGATTTGAACATCGCATACATCTAGCACCTAGGAAGGGGTTACCAGTAACTAGTGGTCTAATGTATCATAGCAGTGCACACCATTCAACAACTTGTTCCAACGTAAGAAAACTCAGTTTGTACAAACACTATTTCACCAGTATTACTGCTACTAAAGATGAACTACTCGGCAATGAAAACAATACAGTTTCTAAAAACCAGCATTTTTTTTACATTGCAGGGTTAAAACTAAAGAGCCACTGCACCCAGGTCACTTTGTTAAGATGAATATGCCTGAGTGACTTTAGTAATCATTTAATAAATAATTTG